TACCTGCGAGTGGCGCTGGAGGCTCCGCCCCCTCGCGGACCCACGAGCGTTTCCCGCACGGCCGCGGCGTCAACAAGTTGATCAAATTCTCGCATCGGAGCCCGAGGAGAGACGCATTTCCGTGCGCTGCGCCAGGCCCTCCCTTGTTTATTTAATTAAAATGATGATGATTATTTTCTGTGTGAAGAAACAGTAAAAACGCAGCCTCACGAAAAGGAAAGTGGCTGTGCAACGGCCCTACGGAGGATAAATGGTTTTGAACGTCATCCGTCTTTTGTTCGCGAACTGTCTTCGCCCCTTTGTCTGGGGCGAGGGAGCGTGCCCTGCCGGGCGCAGTTTCGAGCCCAAGATGTCTTTCAGCGATCAGCTGTTTGTTTTCTTTTTCCCCCGCCCAGGGTCAGTTTTCGCTTCTCTTTGCAGCTGGGACTTCTCACCTGGAGCCTGTTTGCTGAGAATCCGATGTGGGGCTCGGCTTCGTGGCTGGACACAGCAGATCGGCCCATGAAAACGTCTATCCCCGGCCAAAGGAAGAGGTCCGGCAAAAGACAGCACCTCCTTTTCCAGGCTTGGCAGCAGAAGAGGGGACGGGAGGTGGCGACGGTAGAGCCCGAGAAGAAGACTGAAAGGTAACGGGGAGAGCGGAGCACGAACTGGCATTTGGCCGTTATATCTGGGCCAAAAGTGCTTTGGGAAGTAGCTCTTTGAAATTGCACTGAAGAATTCAGATGCTTCTCATTCTTTTCATATTCTCGCATAGTCCCCATCGTTATATGAGCACCCTCCAATAATTTTGCTGTCTGTGTTTTTTTCCCCCTCACCTCTCCCCAGGGAGAAAATAGCATGTTTTGATGATGATTATTACTATTATTTATTCTAATTTAAAAAAGTCTTTCCAGCCTCTCTCTATTCGTGAAGGCAAGTGGCACAGGGCTGTTAGCTTGGTGGTTTGTGAATGCGGTTTTGATTGTTCTGAAGAGGTTTTTTGTAGAATTAACACTAAAGTGACCCAGGTCACTCCACTGTTTTCTGGAAAAATAAAAGGTAGCATTCTGATAAAACAGCTGTTTTGGAATGGTCAGCTGCAGTCCCTGCGTAGAGGTTTAGGCAATGTTCAGTTATCACCGATTGTGGATGTTCTAGTTCAGCCATGAAGGGACTGAGCTGTTTACAGCCTTTCTACCTAGCCATCAACTGCAGACTGTATCATTCATGGATACTGCATGAGGACTTAGTGTGAAGAAACACTCCTGGGCTGTGGACTGATTTAAGCAATCGCAGTCCGGATGCACGTTCTTGATTGAAGTGTTTCCAAAACAGGATTTGACAGAGTTTGTTCTGCGAAGCACTGGGCTGTCCCAGTGACAATAACAGTCTTCTGTTGTGAAGGGCAGGTAGTACTAGAGGTCACCGAACTCCAAACATTTTGTTTTAACATTGGAATGCATTCATTGAATTAAGCTTGAGTTAGTTTTGATCTGAGAAAAAACAAAACAACTAAATGAAAGGCTCTCATGGAACTTCAATAAGTGTTACCATTCCCTTTCAAACAGGTGACATTGAAGTTGAAGATGGGTGGTGGAGAAAGATTCAACATTCCAGTTCCCCAGCCTAGAAATATTAACAAGAATCACCAACAACTTAAAAACAGGCAAAAAAGCAAAGATCAGAATTCTCAGATGAAGATTACCTATAAGAAGAAAGAAAGGGGGCATGGATGCAACTCATCATCTGTTGCATGGCAGGCCATGCAAAAAGGAGGAAAGAATGCTGTGCACTTCCAAAATAATCAGAATTGGAATCCTGCTTTATCAAGTCCCAACACACTTTTTACATCTCGAACCAATCAGAACTATGCTGGAGCAAAATTTAGTGAGCCACCTTCACCAAGTGTTCTTCCTAAACCACCAAGCCACTGGGTACCTGTTTCTTTTAACCCTTCTGATAAAGAAGTAATGACCTTTCAACTTAAAACATTACTAAAAGTCCAGGCTTGAGAGAACTTGAAACACGTTTAAAATTACAGGGTTTCAAATTTGAGAATTAGTCAAAATACATAGTTCCAAAATGCACTGTTTCTCATGAGATTGCTTTGTTGCATATAAAAGTTGTGTCATGACGAGACACGAGGACTTTTCTTGAAGATCCCAAACTTCCACCTCATTCAGGTTTGGTGCATTTTACTGTGAAAAACGTATTTACCATTATGCAGCCTAATCAGTTTTTTCAGTGGCTATTAATGCCTGCATTTACTGTATTGGTCTTAAATTGAACTGTTCTCAAATTTGAAGTAATGCTACTTAAAAAAGCTGGGTATCTCAGTGGGTAAGAGCTGCTGTTATAAAACCAACTTTTCTACAATGTAATGCAGCAATAGAAAGAGTATGCAACTTACAGAACACTATGAAATCTTTAGAAAACAGAACTACTATCTGTTACACTTAAAGGTCCATCAGTCACATGAAGTCTTTTTAAGGCTAATTAGCAAGGCTTTTTTCTAAGCAAGTCTCTATCTGGCTCCAGTTGTATCAGTGAATTTTTACTTGGCATTTGTCAGTCATCAGTTGACAGGGCAGACTAACATCTGAGCCTGTGACCAAGACTTTGACTTCAAATTTTACGGGGGGGTGGTAAAGAAAGTCAAAGGAAATAACATCTTGAGCTTTACCAAAATATAGCAATGCATTTATCTAGAACCTGACCAAGTTGAAGTGTGCCAACTAATGCAGCACTTTGCAGTGCCAGGTGACTGCTAAAAACTTTTACAACCTTTCCTTATTTGGATTGCACTGAGCAGCTTTTAAAACGAATTTTTGTATTGGTTTTATATATCTGAAAGAACAGAAATTAGAGTTGTTCAGGTTAGTGTTAAATTTGGATACCTGGTAATATGGATGTTTAAATTAGTGAAGCTTGTGGTGAGTGTAAAACTTGTTTAAATATATAGGGAAGAAAGAGCCATGTAAATAAATGTAAAACTTTGTAGCATATGTAAATTTATGCTGGGCTTTCCTGCAGAAAATATTTTTAGTACAAAACTGCTGAATGTAAGAAGACCATGCTGAGTACATGGCCTGATTTAAAAGGAAAAAAAAATATTTTGTTAGGGAAAAAAAAACAAACTGTAAAAGCACATGTGGCTGTGCCCTTGCACTTATGTACCAGTGAATGTGCACGTGTTTGATTTGAAGCTGTCTTATTTTTAAAGTAAATTTAGTGCAAAAAACAGCATATTGATTTTTTTTTAATGGTTTTTTAAAAAAAAACTTTAAATTTATGTGTGCTCATGTTTTGAATGCATAAATGATAGTATCTGTGATTTATTGTAACGCACCTAAATGCACTGAAATTTTGATTCAAGTCCTTAACCATAGTTATTTAGATGCATACATACTTGAGATCTGGTGGTCTAGGATTTAATGCAATTCTAGCTGGTTTTATCAGTCTCCCCTTTTTTTAATTGTTGATCATATCTCAAAGGAATTAGTGAAGATTAAGCCACTTGGCCCCTGGTTTTCATGAACTATAACTTGGTCGTCACCATGTCTCAATAACATTGAATATAAAAATTGAGCAAGTATAAAACCCTTAAGAACTTGGTTTCCAGTGTTTGCAGCCAGCATGTGGGTATTTAAATAAAGGCCAGTGCTTTTAATAAAACCCAGTGCTCGGTTTTATTGAGTGATGCCATAAACTATCATCTAGAAAAAAGTGCTTCTGTAGTAAATACATGAAAACTTGAATTGTGGCATACTAAGGAATACATGAAGCATCTGTTTAAAATGCAGGTCTAATAGATTGTGAGTAAGCAGTTAAAATGAAGTTACAAAATGACTTATTTCAGCAAATAAGTTCAAGTACTCAAGATGCACTTAAGTACAATACATTGTTTATACATTCAAAATGTTGGCAGTTATTGAAATGTTTAAAATGCACTAATCCAAAAAAAAAATTGGCAATTTCTTAAATTTATCATCATCCTTATTTCCCAAACTTTCACCGAATTAAAAGTTATAGCCCAAAACTAAATGTGTTGTATTCTAAAATTAAAGATTATAAAGTACTGTGTGTACTTTTATGGATTGGAAATCATAAAAGCAAAATAAACTACCTAACCTTTTCTCCCCCAAATGCGTCTGGTTTTTCTTTTTTAAATCAGTTCTGGTTCTAGGCTTATATATTTTACTTAAAATAAACCTGCAATAAGATAGCCAAGAGGATGGGATTCTGTACGGTCTGGTGAGAACAAGGTACTTACTGTCCGAGTCGAAACTTAAGGGCGACTGATCACCACTCCAAAACACTTCATGTTCTTCAAAAAGAGCTGACCAGCTATTTAAGAAGAATTTTAATGAGTAAGAATGTTTCTTGAAGAAATGCTTGCTTTTTAGGGCAGGGAGATGGGAATTAAATCAGAATGATACATTTGAAAAGCAAAAGGAATGAATTAGGATTTGAGAGAGATTAAGAAAGTAGCTCTCTTAGCAAGAATTATCCTGAAAATGTGCGTCCTGGTATACTTTTACTGTGTTAACTCTTCACTACCTGCCATAGACTCTTGTAGAGTGTGTGTTTGAAAGGCACCATGTTATGACCAGTGACACTACTTCCTGTACTTTAAGGAAAACAATTTATAGCTCCTTTACAGGGCTAAGAGAATAATTTACATGAGGGATAATCCTTTATCACAGGCTGCTCAGGTTTTTTTTTTACTCGGATTTGCCCCACTTTTTTAGTTTATGCTTCTGTAATTAGTCTTGCTGCATAAACTCTGGAAAAAAAAATTGACAGCTTCAAAACTTGAATTTCCTCATGCAAAACACTGGTTTTTATTTTTAAAAGCTAGAAAACTTGGGCATAAGTCATTAGACTCCTAGTTCTTGAGTGGATGCTTGAAATAAAAAACAAATCCTGATTTCTTCACACTATTTCTGGCTACACAAGGTGCGTGAAATAACAGGAAATAGTCCAGGGCTTATTTCTAGATCTTAAACAAGTACTTTTAAAAGATAGTGCATGAGATGCAAGGTCAGCCTGCCATTCTTAGCAATCATATCATGGAATCATAGAAGTAGGGTCGGACAGGACCTTGTAGATCTTCAAGTCCGACCCCCTGCCTGGGCAGGAGGGAAACTGGGCTTAAGTGACCCCAGCCAGGTAAGCATCGAGCCGCTTCTTAAAGACCCCCAGGGTAGGAGCCAGCACCGCCTCCCTTGGAAGTTGGTTCCAGATCTTAGCCGCCCTAACTGTGAAGTAGTTCCTACGGATGTCTAATCTAAACCTACT